TATTTACTGACCAACTAACAATTTCTTATTTTCTTTCTTCCTTAACAATTTTTACTATATTTTTGTTATTTATTCATGTAAATACTTTATGAATTCATTTAAAAAAAAATCAAAATATTGATTTTGATATAACCTATTTCCTTAATATTTGATTTTTTACAGAAAAAAATAATTAACGGTTTTTTTCTTATTATTTTTTTCTATTATGAAAACCCGCCTTACCTCAATGTATGAAAAGATCAAATAGTGGATTGCTAGAATGGTCATATTGATTTCAATTTGCTCCGAACAATTCTGCCTGGACGGTTTAACAGAAATAGAAATACGGAAACAATAAAAATGAAATACCCATTTTAACGCCTCAGAAAACATCAATCCTTCCTACGTCTAGATCAATCAGTTCAATTCCTGTTCAAATCTCAACAAATCGGATCTACGAATTGCATTTACTTAGTGTCAATAGAAAAATTCAACAATAACTCTAAAAAGAAAGTTGATTATTTCACATTTGCTTTGTTTTCTTGTTCAGGGGGACATTGCTCATGTATTATGTCAAGCGTTAATGCAGCCCGACGGTCAATTAGCTGCAGTCCTCGAAATGTGGCGTCGCGAACATGAAGGTTCCTTCCACGAAGAGGACGAGGAAATCGCATCCAGTTATCTAGTCTGGGGAGGGATAGCTCTTCACTACGCCCACCTTTATCTCAACATGAACAAGCAGAAGAAACTAAACGATTTTCTCCTGGCAGTCGTCAAGTACGTCACATGTCTCCAATCACGCCGAAATGAAACTAATCTATTGAAATGTTTAGATCGATTTTCCAAGATATGGTCAGCATGGACATGCTGGTGATGAAAATAATGAACTTTGCTCAAAGACTGGTGGATGCGGATCGAGCATCCCTATTTTTGGTTGACAATAAAAGCAAAGAATTATATGCCACTATATTTGATGTGGGAGTTGAGAAAGATGAGGTCGAATGTTCGAATGGCAGCGGTGACAACGAAGAGTTTGTAAAAGTCGACACGTCAAAGGAGATTCGGTTTCCTCTAGGGACGGGAATCGCAGGACAGGTGGCTATGACCGGGGAAGTTCTCAACATCAAAGACGCATATGCTGATTCGAGGTTTAACCGCACGGTCGATCAACTTACAGGTATGTCTGTATGTACATAGATTATTTAATAATTTCATCTAAATTGACACGTGATTAAACATCTTGAGATGTTTGACGCCTTGTATCAACAAGAAATTACACTACTCGGGATTAAAATTTGTACACTTACAAGACATGATTAAAATTTCGTAACAATTGGTCAATGTTTATTTATTTTTAAAAATAATTGACGCTTTTATAAATAAAAATAGTTCTGTGCGAAAACAATATTGTTAATTTACCAAGCCTTCTTTTTAAAACTCTTTTTGGAGAAAAGATGAAAATTTGACAAAAAAACTTGGTTTGCGACTACTGTTGAAGCTTAAGCTGTTAAAACATTTTTCAGCATTGGATTCCCCATTAATTTTATAT